GGAACATTCTATGACCCCAAACGTGACCCAGGGTTCTGCAGGCGGTTGAATGCCATACTTCTACCTTAAATACTAAAAGTTAAAACTGGGACCCGAGCTTACCGTATGGCTGCGAAATACGTCAGCAAACTCTGCCGCAGCGACCGCAAAGCACATTTGGCACTGATCGTGTCGCTGCAATCCGCGGCGACTTGACGCCCTCTTCAATACGATTGCATCGAACAATTGAAGCGAATCGAGCATGCAAATTAATTTGGATACGGATTTGAATTTTGGATTCAAGGGACTTATAGGCTTGTAGGTACCCTTCTCCTCGACTCAATTTGACCAAAAATAGTGCTCGGGAACGTGGATAAAAATTAAACCCCAAGCAATAAACTGAGAAACGTCTGAGAAACGCGCCAGCTTGACCAGACCCACCCTTCACCATCTTCAAACCCTGCCCTTCTCCTGGGGACTTTCGTAAATGAACAAGGCCCTAATCAACACATCAACCCGGCATAATAGCCCTGTTCGAGAGATGTTCGGTATACCATTCATAGGCTATGGGGAAGAGTGAATTGCATACCGTACCGGTACGGTGTACGGGCCAAATCGGGTTCCAACTTTAACTTCCGCAACAGAGTTTTATATCGCCCTAAAGGCGCGGCCGAAGCTGACGCGGCCGCCCCAACCCTTTGGCGCGGCGGGCGCGGGCGCGGCCGCCTCTGAGGCTCCGCGCGATCTGTCTTAGTAGCGGGCCGGCCTGCCATGGATCGTCGCGGACGCGGCCGGGCGCGCGGCAAATGATCAAAAATCCATGCCGCAGGATTCACCCCAAAATTCCTACAGTGGTAAATTTGAGCGCGAAAATACGAACTTACAAACTTCGTTGTGATCGTGCATGCACGAAATGTATTGAAGTCTGATCTGGGTTTTAGTGAGCGCCAGCTGGTCGGAGCTCTCGAGCTCTCGATGTGGAGCTTCTGCCACATTCTGTTGTGCGCTCTACCTTGCCAGACATGCCTTGATGCAGCTTAGCAGACGTGGAGTCAAAAAGACGCATCGATCACAACGTCGAAGCTTTATAGCTTCTGAGAGCAAGAGCTTATTGGGAGCTTATCATGATGCTTTGGGGATGCTTTCTTACAAAAGGTAAAAAGCTCGAAGGTAATCGTAGCTCGATCAGTCAATCTATTGGCAGTAAGCATTGGCACTCTCTGCTCAAGCGGCAACATGATCCAACAATTTCAGCAGGAGGTCGCACTGACGTGTCCGCTCACCACAAACCTCTGAAAGTTCCACTTTACTTAGAGTTATAAGGGAATCCGAAGGCCTTGTACTGCTGGATTCATGAGGACGAAGAAAGCTGACAGCGCTGCCGTAAGGAAGAAGACTACCTACAGCAATTGAAGCTAAAGCAAGCGCAACCAAAGCAATCTGATCTGCACCCCAGTTGGTCGACGCTCGGCGCCTTCAGCAATTTGCGAGCGCCGATCACCAGACTACGTCCTCTCTTGGAAAGCAAAGTCGATATAAAACAGTCTAACTGTTGTTACCAGACAGCATCCTTTCGCTGAACCAAGAAGGATGGCTTCAACGGCGAAAGTCTCATGCAACCACATGGTTGCAGCTTTGTTCTTCGGAGCTCTTTGCTTGATCTTTGTAACGAAGAGCGTCGAGACCAACAGCAGAGGATTCCGCATTTTCAACACCGGCTATACAAGAAAACTCCGGTTGTCTGTGATCGATTACAGTAAGTAAACTGAGTGCTTTTCAAAAAGAAGCAGCAACTATCTGATTGAAATGGTAATCAACCAAGAGCTTGGTCGATCTTCTGTATCTTGCGCGTCAGGTTGCCATAATACGCAGATATGTGTGATGAACCTGAGATTACCACGGTGCTGACTCAGAGGATTGTACGTTCTGGAGCAGCAATTGGAAAAAGTACTCGTTTGTCACAAGAATCCGTGCATCCCACCTCCCAATTATGTAGTGCAGATCCTAGCAACGTCGTTGACAATGGAACCGACATCTCAATCAAAATGGTAGGCGAATACCTCTTACTCTGCCAATTGTTATCAGAGTAATCATCCTTTCAGCTCCACTCATTGGCAGATGCCTACGATTTCATCGGTGCAGCTGACGGTTGATCCTTGAAATTGACTGAAAGGGCACTGGATTCGAGAGGTCGGCTAAAGGAATTTCTCGCAATGTCTCAGTTCTCCTGATTCTTGCATTGCAGGATGTTGGGGGCTATGCAGCTCGCATCCACACGCCAGTGAGGCGAAGGTACGGCACGTACAGCGCCTGGCTCAAATGTCCAGAAGGTGAGGCTGTAGCATTCTGATTGGCTCAGTTGGCATTTTGGAAGAATTCTGTGCCGAAACTTTTTCGAGCCTTCAAGCTGATTGTTTTCGTGGTTTCGCATGTGGGGACAAAGAACCAAAGAGACGCAAATTGAAGGTTTCGGACTCGAAACGTTTGGTTTACTCCACTCCAGGAGATACAGATGGCATAATTTCGTGTATCTACACCAGCTCGCTGGAGGGTAGCGTCGATCAAGACGAGGCAAGTCCTATACATCCTCACTCCAAAAATCTGCCCTTACAATCGGATTTGAACCGCTTCTAGGATCGACCATCAGCGCCTTGAAAAAGCGATGTTCAGAAAAATGCACAATCTCTGAGGACCCGAGGCTATCAAGGCTAGAGCTACACTGCCAGTGGCACTGCTATATTGGTATGCACCGCCAGCTCTGCGACACTCTTCTTGACAAAACAGTGATACTAAATGTATGATCTTTCTAAGTTGTGCAACGTCCGCCCTGAGAAGGACGAAAGTGTAACATAAATTAATTGAGCATTGCGCTTTCCTGTTTGACCGCGAAGTCTTTGGTAAGCACTTTGATTGCTTCCAGGATCGCATTAGGTGCTCAACCGTCCGAGTCCAAGATGCTTTTACAAACCGACTGCATGTCTTTGTCCTTCCTTGCAGATTGATTTTGAATTCAGGGGAATGGACAAAACCAATGTCCAAACGAACCACTTTGCCGATGGTAAGAGCCATTGTTGACATCTTCCACTTTCTCGTGATCAGAAGATGCTCCTCAATACTGTTTCAGCGGGAGTAGCAACTTTCAATCACATTCCTTTGATCTTTCGTTAACATCCCCCTCGTTTCTGTAGCTCCCTTACGGCTGAATGCAGGGATACGTCATCAGCTGCTCTTTCAGAATCCTCCTGGCTTGTATACCTGGTTGAAGTCCTTCGCAAACTGGCACGCAGGTCAGGGAGGACACGAGCACCAGATACCACTCGAGTATGACTGCTCGGAGGACTTCCATCATTACCAAATTGAGTGGAGTCGAAATACCATCAAGTAAGCAGAGAGATCACCTGGACATGTATTCCTTTTTAGGTTCACAATTTCTCTGGTCATCACACTTTGAATGCGAAGACCATAAGGAAAACTTCATACTGCGACTGAGTATTTGTAGCGAATCAATAGAATCTTGAAGGTTGGTTGAACATGCAGCCCTCAAAGAAGTTCCATTCCCTGACTTGGCTATTTCTTAAACGCCTTGCTGATTGTACAGGTGGCTGATCGACGGCCGTATAGTGCGCAACGTGACTCGTGAGCGGGGTTCTCCGTACCCCAGCAAGCCTTCCTATCTGTAAGGAACAAGCATCCTTGATTCTTCGATCGCTCTTCCAACCGACCACTGTCGTGAATATCGTTCATCTCAGCCCTGTATCCGCTGTCAAGCTCTCTCAAATAGCATCCCACCATCTCATTTGTCCAAACGGATGACCTCCAATGCTTTTGCTCCCCAAAAGAACCTTCCCAGTCTCAAACCACATCGTCACTTCTGAGCCGGACTTTGGTGGACAGTAAATTGTTTCTTCATTTCAGGTACGCCAGTGTCTGGGATGGAACACCGATCAACAATGGGACGTGGTCTGGCACGGCAAATTACAAGGATGCACCTTACTTCTTCCACCTGCGTAACGTGTCCTTTACTCCGTTGCGGATGGCCTTCTCACGTCAGAAACAATAGAAGGTTCTGAGATTTGGTTAGCCTCCTTCTATCGTGGACATCGACCAACATGAACAAATTGTCCGGGAAATGGACAACAATTGTGGACTGCCAACCAGTACTTAGCAATTTGAGTATACTAAAGTCCAGTCCTTCTAGATTCAAGAGCACCCGAAACTAGTGACACGGATAAGAATGGGGTTCTTGCATGCTCAGCCACTAGACGGTCAAATCCACTAGCATATGGGTATAGCAGGTCTGCCATTACGAATCTGGTGTCGTCCTACAAACGGAAAGCGGGCTTCCATCTGTCTGGGTTACTGTCCTTGACAGCATGGCTTGATGGCGCATGCTCTCGGAGGCAGTTCTGCTTATTCTGTTTGAGCTCCTATAAATTTAGTCAGTCCTGATGTTGAGCTCAATAATTGAAGTGGCTTGACGGATGTTTCATCACACAGCAGACACGAATCTCCCTTTTTCATGAAAAGAGATCATCAGATGCCGCAAGCGCGATCCCTTCGTGCTCCGAATGCGCCAGCCCAGATAAAGGTCAGATCGAGAGTCGGACAGGCAAACTGCTTAGAACTAGAATTACGAATGCTTGCAGTCAATTTGTATAGTACTCCGCGACTTGTAAGGGTAGAC